GACCTACACACCTGCTTTCCATCAACGCCATCTTACCACCGGCATATCAACCGACGGCTCACACAACTTTCTTCCGCCAGATCGTCAAGTATCAGCGTATTCGCCGTCTCCCCTCCCGGTACACAGCCACCGTGAGTTTGCATTTAACCGGTAAACGCGAGACGGCTGCTACTTGCACATTAGTCTTCTGTTTCATGGATCAGTACTCAACAGTCCTGCCAGTAACGTCTACATATCTTATCCAACCTGCTATGTATGTTATAGCCTGATATATGATAAGCTAACTCTCACAATGCTCTGTGATGTGACGGTTAGCTAATCATTCGTAGCTACACGCCGGTCACCTCAGCCAAAGATAGCTGCCAGTTCCTCACTCCGGTTCTCTCAGCACCCTAAAAGTGACCCAGATGTCCCGCTTTGCGTGGGACGTGCACAGCATTTTCATGACTTTGGTGCGTCCTCTAAACTTCGGGGGCGAAGGGGCACGATGTCCGAATACTTTTCATCTTTGATTCGAGCTAACACGCTTAGTTCTACAAATCAGCTCTTATCCAATGCTAGTTGATAAAGCAGCCGGAACGGCTATCTCCACGGCGGTGTGTTTGCCTGTCAATCAAACTGTAACAACACGGCGGGTGGCTGGTTCCACGTGTTAACCAATGAGAGTAACTTCTATCTTCACACACACCCCCCCGCCGGCCCCGACCAAACAACAACAACGAAAGTCAGTCAATAACGCAGGCGACGCAGCAGGTTATGGAAAATGGAGGAAACTGAAACTACAGCTAAGAAGAAAAGAAGATGCACATACAACAAAGACTGGGAAGACACTTACCCTTGGGTGAAGCCAGTGCAGATTTGTTTGCAATCTTTGCAAGAGTAATTTTTCTATTTCACATGGCTGTGAATACGACGTCAAAAGACACTGAGAATGCGATTCTCACAAGAAACGTGTCGCTCAAAAAGAGATATCACACTCTATGGAGACATTCCTACTCAAACTACCTGTTGTTGCTGTGATGAACAAAACTGAAAGCTATTTTATTTTATGTATTATTATGTTTTTGTTCCCTCCTGGCCAGTTTTGATTTGTATGTATGGTTTTATTTTATCTATTAATTTATGTTGTACCTTCTTTTACAGGTAATACACTAGTTGAATTAGGAAGATGCATCTCTAAACACTTGAAGTGACTAATGTCTGCTGCCTTGGTTAGCCTTAGTTTACTTTTCTTTATCAAGATACTAAATTGTTACTGCATTTTGAATTCACTTTCTGTCATTGTTTATTGGATGCTGTTGAATAAACCAAATGAAACAGAATAGAAATAGAGATTTTTTTTCCCGGGGTGCTGTTGAGAGGGTGTCCCACATTGTCCCACACAAACATACTCCTTGTCACACATTTGGTTTGTTGGGACCTGGTCACCCTACTCGCACCACAGCTCAATTTCTCTCCGATGGCCGTTATTTCTTCTAATCCTTGGCTGCTCCTGGTCTCTTGGACGCCTAGCAGGCTCATAATTATAAGGTTGTGGTCCGTCATATGCATTCGAATATTCATGTTCAACTTCTGTGTCGAAACTAGCATTGGGATCCATGTTTATTAATACGTTACACCGGCCGCTCTCCCCCTTGTTTCCCCCATGTTACGTCACATGCGGGAGGTCAGGTGCCGAGGCTTTTTTATGCGGAAGTGAAAATGTCTTACTAAAACGACGCCAGATGTCACTGTAGTTTATATTTCTGTATATTTTTTTGAAAATCTAGTGTATTCATCATTTTCCTACACATTTATTCACAGGTGTCTTTAACCTGGAAGTTGCTCTTTAAAGTACAAATGGTAAAAATACTTATTCTGCACAATGGCCCATTTCATAATACTATGTATAATAATAAGTATAGAATAATTCAAAGCTAAATGTACTTCAAGTATCAACATTAAGTATGAGTGTTAAAATAATTGTAGTGGAGTAAAAAACATGACATTTGCCTCTGAAATATAGCAGAATAGAAGTATAAAGTAGCATCAAATGGAAATATTCAAGTAAAGTAGTAGTAGCTCAAAATAATATTTAAGTCCAGTACTTAAATAAATGTTTTTTCATAATAAAAGTTTTACACATCTTCAAAAACACAGCCAGCTCACATTCTGGCAAATCCACTGAGAATGCCGGTCTCTTGCTTGAACTCCACGGGGCGAACCACAGCGAGCAGCGAGCCCCATTCATCATGACACTCAACAGGTTGCGTGATTAAGAAACAAATGAAAAAGAAGAAAGTGATTCATGGGGCTAATTCAGGCCCTTGAGCAGGGACTTTCTCTGCGTCTTCTCTGACCGTATATTCTGAGCAACACCCGCTCTGAATACACAGCTGACCACAACTTTCCCAGCGGCTGCTCATTAGAGTGTGTTATAAGGGGTGCCAACATCAGGCCGGGACACTCCTGACACTCTATGTGGGCCGCTTTGAATTAGGCCTCTAATGAAAACCTAGTGCTGACCCAGGATTTGACTGGCTGTTTACCCAAAGCAGACTGACGGCCGCCTCTCCACTGGACACTGTATGGAAGTGCTTTTATAGGCAGGCTGCTGGTCCTGAGCCAAAAGAGAGCAACAGCAGTCTGAGACTGGGCTATCGAATGAGTAACAAAAACAGAAAATATGTAAAATAATGTATTGAGTCTTTTCAGCTGAATTTGTATAGTCAGCTAAACACACATACTGAACCATTAAATAGAAAAATTTCAGATTTGATCATATAAGGATGTTCTGAACAGTTACATTTGGGATTTATTTATGAATTATAAGGCGTACAGTTAAAGACTGTCCCAACATGTCTGTTGTAAAACTCAATCACATCCTGGTTCAACTGTGACCTACCGTATTTGTCGGAGTTATGCACTTAAGGGGCCATTTTTTAATCTCCAATCGGGACACGGGGGAAGCAGTACATCTTGTGAATGGATTTTGTGAGCCTCTTTAAGTGCAGCTGTTATTTTGGTGAACCCGTCCAAACACAAAGTTCGATTTCAGGTAATGGTTATGACATAACTCAAAATGTTTGTACAATCAATTTAAAAATGAAGTATACCTTCTAAGGGATTTCTCCATTGGATTTTGGAATATTGCAGAAATTAAGCTCTTTGGCTAACACATGTTTATGATACTTACACTTTTTTTCAGCAGGATAATCTCCACATATTAAGACAACTTGTATAATTGTTTAAGCATAAATGAAATTGACAGAAATAAAAGGTAGTGTTCAGATCAAACTTTTACAATGATGCATGTCAATACATCTGAGACTCAAGGTCCACCTGTTCTGGATTAAACATTATGTACATACTGGTAGCTAATCAAAATGAAACATTTGACTAAATACATGAGGATGCTTCCATACAGGTCACTGGGCCCAGTGAATGGTTTTAAAATAATTATATGAATCACATGCTATGGCTTTTACAGTCACCAAATTTCAACCAAACTGTGTCGCACAAAAATGGGAGATTCTGGATTGTAATCTAGGCCTTTCACGATAAATAATTTTGTTGGACGATAAATGTTCCTGGAAATTATTGCGATAAACGATAATATTGTCGGCACCATTGTAAGACCATTTTAGACCACTGACATAATGATAATATATCATAATAATTCTAGTACATCCTTTCAAACAGAACTTTTTATTGAACATTCAACATTGCAAATGAAATGTGAAATAATATTAAAATATATAAATGATATATAATAAATAAAACAAATTAATTAAATTATAATAAATTAATTAAATCAGAGCACAAACCAAATGTCACTCCTGGCTCCCGGCTCAACCTCCACTCACCTGCTGCAATCAGCTGTGCACCCTCCCCGACTACACACCTAGTTTCCATCAAGCCATTTACAACGGCATATCAACGGAGGCTCCACAACCTTTCTCCGCCAGATCGTCAAGTATCAGCCGTATCTCGCGTCTCCCCTCCGGTACACAGCACCGTAGTGTGGAGTTGCATTAGGTAACGCGAGATACGGCTGATACTTGCGCATTAGTTTCTGTTATGGATCAGTATCAACAGTCCTGCCAGTAAAGTTACTATATTATCAATGCTACGTTAGTTATAGCCTGATATATGATAGCTAACTTTACAATGTTGTGATGTGACATTAGCTAACATTCTGTAGCTAACGCCGGTCACTCACCAAGATAGCTGCCCAGTTCTCCACTGGTTCTCCTCACACCACAGCTCAATTTCTCTCCGATGGCCGTTATTTCTTCTAATCCTTGGCTGCTCCTGGTCTCTTGGACGCCTAGCAGGCTCATAATTATAAGATTGTGGTCCGTCATATGCATTCGAATATTCATGTTCAACTTCTTCTGTGTCTTCCCTGTCGAAACTAGCATTGGGATCCATGTTTATTAATACGTTACACCGGCCGCTCTCCCCCTTGTGTCCCCCGTGTTACGTCACATGCGGGAGGTCAGGTGCCGAGGCTTTTTTATGTGGAAGTGAACATTTCTTAAAAAAACGACGCCAGATGTCACTGTAGTGTATATTTCTGTATATTTTTTTGAAAATCTAGTGTATTCATCATTTTCCTACACATTTATTCACAGGTGTCTTTAACCTGGAAGTTGCTCTTTAAGGGAACCTTGATGATAAGCTCCTTCTCCACAGAAGGCATACCATCATAAAGAATATCGACAAAATAATAACTCGGCTTCTTACAAATTCTGTTCCAATCTGTTAGTTTGGAAATGGCATTCTAAGTCAGTTGATCTAGTATTTATAGTACTAACTCTATCTGTCTTATCAGGTGGGTCATCTGATCCAGCAGGCGTCAGGCGGCAGTAACTTGAAGAAAGTCACTCTGGAGCTGGGAGGAAAGAGTCCAAACATCATCCTGTCTGATGCCAACAGTATGTATTTTCCCTTCCAGGAACATTCTAACACAGAAGGTTTACAGTTGGTTTTAGGTATTTATTATAATTCAATTTGGGAATAAATGCACAGCTAAAGCAAAGTCTGGCCATGTAAATATATAAAACCTGTGATGCTGTTTGCGTTGCTGGTTCTGTTTTTCGTAAAAGAGCTCACACAAAGCGTAAGAACTATTAAAGGGTTAATTTTCTGTAAGACTTGGTGAATTAAGCAAACATAGACATAGCTATTGTGGAGGGATGTTTTCTGGTATATTAGGGGTTCAGTATCTTAACCAATGACACTTTGAACCACCACCCTTCTGATTGGTGGAGGACCGCTCTGCCTACTGAGCTACAGCGGCTTCAAGTGACCTCCGCTGGATTTATTTCTTACTGCAGCATTCATGTTGACATGGAGCAGCTGCATAGGATGTTTATACGCTTGTGCTGAGCATGTTAGCTTTGCTTGTGAGCCTTAGCTTGGTCAGGAGCTTCGAGTTCATTGGCAGCCAGGCCAGCTCAGCTCCACCTCTTTGCCCTTATTTGGATGAAGCTGGGAGAAGGCGGGAGTTAGGGCTGATGTCACTGCCAAGATGGCGCCATCCAGATCTTCCCACTTTTTTCCTTTCCAGCAGAGACCTGTGAGTGATGTCACAAACACTACCATTTATATATATTCAGTAGTATGCATCAGCCCCATGTCAACATTAATGGTGCCATTATAGTTCCATCAGAATTCACAGAGCCGGATGAAGTTCATCTTATTGTCCCATTGTGTGGTGGAAAGTCTAACCAGCTAATAGTGACACACCATTGAGTGCACTTGTACATGAATACAGACAGTAAGAAATAAAACCACTGGAAGTCACCTGTTGTTAGGGTCTATCAAGAGAGGACACTGACAGATGCTTGAGAGAGTATTTCAGGTGTACTAACTGACTTGTCAATCCCCCCCAGTGGAAGACGCAGTGGAGCAGTCCCACTTCGCTCTGTTCTTCAACCAAGGCCAGTGCTGCTGTGCTGGCTCTCGGACCTACGTCCAGGCAGACATTTACGATGAGTTTGTGGAGCGGAGCGTGGAGCGAGCTAAGAGACGAGTGGTGGGAGACCCCTTCGACCTGAAGACCGAGCAGGGACCTCAGGTAGGAACCATTTTTGGTCTTGGTTTCTTCTTTTCTAAGGTGACATTGTTCTTTTGTTTTACATATTACACTTAGCTAAAAAGCATCTTATTGATATTGCTTTCTCTGAGGTATTGAGGTAATCCAAAAGTAGCGGAAAGTAATCGGGTCACATATACGTTTATATTTTGATTCCCAGATTAGGTTACTGTCAAAGGTATTTGTAGTCATTGTTCTAATGGAATAAATGTTTAAAGTAATCCTCCCAATGATAACAAATGTATATAGGGTTGGTAATGACAGAGTCCGGCAGTGGTTCAGTCTGCAGGGACTTGGAGAGATACTAGTGCACCCCCCCTACCCCATAGCTCCTGGGTGCTGTTCAATAGCTGCCAACTGCTCCGAGCACTAGGATGCGTTAAAGGCAGAGGTCCAATTTCGCTGTGTGCATGTACATGTGTGTGTGTGACACATAAAGAGGGTTTCATCTTTCGATTCTAACATTTAATTGATATTGCATTTTTATAAGAGACACACATTAAGGGAAAAACAATCATGAAAATAATATCCATTTACATTCTTATACATACACAGAACACAGACCAGACAAGAAACTGCAGTCAGTAATATCACTACTAGCAAACCCTTTCACATCATTCCTATATAAAAACCTGAAATATAATGTATGCTGTTTCCTCTCGATGTCCCAAAGGTGGATCAGGAGCAGTTCAACAAGATTCTGGGCTACATCAGCAGCGGAAAGAGAGAAGGAGCCAAGCTGTTGTGTGGAGGAGGCGTGGCTGCAGACAGAGGGTACTACATCCAGCCCACCGTGTTCGGAGACGTCCAGGACAACATGACCATCGCCAGGGAGGAGGTAGGGTTTAAAACGCCTCACTAAAAACAATCAACATAATCAGGGAAAAATTAATTACAACTAATTTACTTTTGTGCTCCCCAAAACGAGTGTTTCAATATTCCAACCTTGGTTGGTGCTTCTCTGTGCACAGTGTGGTGTCCTTCAGTGTGGCTGAGCGGTCAGCTTTTGTATTCTTATATACTGAGATACTCACCGCTGCCATTAGCTACTTTTAGGGGAAGAATTAAAATATTGTATTTTCTATATTTGTGTAACTATATTTGCGTTTTCCATTTTTTTAAATAATATAACATTACATACAGTTAAAAAAAGAAAGGCGTAATTGAATTATGAGGAATAACCTATAAAACTAAAGTCAATAACTGGGTTCCTTAGCTGGAATTATAAGCACCTAAAATAACATTGAGGTATCCCTTTTATAGCCTTATGGGTATCTGAGAATCACTCCGCAGAATCCCACTTTTTAGCAAGGAACACAATGTCTCCTGAGTGCGAAATAAGCATGATATGTGAGTTAGATGTCTACTGATCAAAAGTGTTTTAGCTGGTTTGCTCTTCATGAAATTATTCCTCTGTGATTTCTTTTTTTTTCTCTTGCAGATCTTTGGTCCAGTTATGCAGATCCTGAAGTTCAAATCCCTGGAGGAGGTGGTGGAGAGAGCCAACGATACTAAATATGGCCTGGCAGCCGCTGTGTTTACTAAAGACATCGACAAGGCCAACTATGTTTCACACAGTCTGCGAGCCGGCACTGTCTGGTAGGTCTGAGTGCGAACATTAATGTCTCTGAGGCCTGGGTATTCATATTGCGTCTTTCAACTGTTTTGTTGCTTTTTTGCATCCCTATCAACTCTGATATAACATTTTTATCATTATAAATGTGCGTTTCTGTGGCTATGTGGTTCAAATTATTTTTACAAAGAAGTCCAGTGTGACAAAATTAGTAAAACTATGAAAACAACTGAATGTGTCCCTGTCTCTCTGCCCTTGCAGGATTAACTGCTATGACGTGTTCGGGGCTCAGGCTCCATTCGGAGGTTACAAGGCTTCCGGTAACGGCAGAGAGCTTGGGGAGTACGGCCTTGAGAACTACACAGAAGTCAAAACGGTAATTTAAAAAAATATACTATACATATAAAGGATATAGGGATAGGATATAAAGAGGACAGATCTTGCTCACTTTCAGGTTTCATATTAGTATTTTGTGCCTCTGTGACATGTTTCCATGCTCTAATGCTCTAATGCTCAAAAAGCTTTTTATTTTTCTCATACTGCCTGTGCTGCAGCACCTCTTTTCACCCTCTGTCTGAAACCAGAGCCCAGTCTGCTCTGATTGGTTAGCTGGCCGGCTCTGTTGTGATTAGTTAAAAACTTAGAGATGTGTTGGAAATGTCCAATCCAATCAGGTACAAGGTGTCGGAGTGCTAGCCAATAGAAGAGAGGGAGAGAGAGAGAGAGAGAGAAACTCCCTCTGGATGGAACACAGGGATTTGAGCCTTTGCAGACCATTGGCCGTTATCGTGAAAAACTATGACAGCGTTTTAATTGTCGGGGATTTTAACGTGCATGTCTGTTGTCCAAGCCACTAGCCAAGACTTTCTTGATGTTGTAGATGCTTTTAACTTCATACAACATGTCTTTGGCTCCCCACGCAAGAGCATGGGCACACATTAGACCTAGTCTTATCCCATGGTCTGCCCATTTTAAATGTCAATGTGTGTGATGCAGCTTTATCAGATCACCTGCCTGTGCTATTTGATTTGTTCTGCCCTGTCATAGTCTTAAATAATGCGCTCCTGTCCGTCACGGTCGTATGATGAAACCTTCCACTGCTGCTAGTTTCTCCCCTGCCTCTGTAAACCTAGCCCAGTCTGATACTATGTCCTCTTGACTCCCTGGACACTGAGCAATTAACCTCAGCCTTTCTCTCTACCTGCACTGGAGCTCTTGACATTGTTGCTCCCCTGAAACTCATGCGCCCCAGAGCTAAATCTGAACCCTGGCTCAATGACGTCACTCGTGCTGCCAGGCGTGAGTGCCGGCAGGCTGAGCGTAGGTGGAAGAAGTACAAGCTTCGTGTAACTCATGACATTTTAAAAGAGAGTTGGAGGGCATTGTAAAAGCTGAAAAGATTAGTTATTTTTCTGATATTATTTCTAGTAATTTAAACAAACCTCGTGTTCTTTTTAAAACCATTGATGCTATGTTAAACTCTCCTTTATCCACGTGTATTGAAGCTTCCACTGAGGTGTGTGAAAAATGTCTCCACTATTAGAGCCTGTATCTCACCACCCTCTTTTGACCCCTCCATTGACATCACATGCACTGCTGTCTTCGAGCAGTTTGGAGTCGTTGTCATCTCTTAGTGACATTGTTGCTAAATTAAAACCCTCATCTTGTCCCACAGACCCAGTCCCTCCTCGACTTTTTAAAGAGATATGGGGCACTATTGGATCTAATGTCCATAAAATTATAAATACCAGCCTAGAGTCCGGTTCTGTGCCAGTTTATTTCAAACAAGCGGTTGTGGCACCCCTGATTAAAAAAACCTAATCTGGACACTTCTGTCTTCTCCAATTACAGACCCATCTCGAAGCTTCCTTATATTTCAAAAATATTGGAGAAAACCGTACTCTTACAGCTGCAGTCTTTTATACATGCACACAATATTTTTGATATGTTTCAGTCTGGTTTTAAAGCGCTTCACAGTACTGAGTCTGCCCTTCTAAGAGTATTCAATAACCTCCTGGTCACTACAGACTCTGGTGACTCTGCCATTCTTATGCTCTTGGACCTCACAGCTGCCTTTGATATGATTGACTACTCCATCCTTATCTCTGGTCTAGAGCACTGTGTGGGTATCAGGGGCACTGCCTTAGAGTGGCTCAGGTCCTATCTGTCCCAGAGATCCTTCTCTGTTTAGGCTTGGTGAATTTGCATCTTCTTCTGCCCCCCTATCCTGTGGTGTTCCCCAAGGTTCTATTTTGGGGCCCATTTTCTTTTCTTTATAGCTACATATAAATGAGGGCAAAACGGAGGTCATTGAGTTTGGACTAAATGGTGATGTCCCTTCCATTGACCTGGGTTCCCTGCAACCGTATACAAAACCAATNAGAGGGAAAGGAGCAATTTTGAGCTCTGCTCTTAAAAACGGCTTTTTTTTTAAGGTCATACGTCAAACGCGTCATATTACATCACACAGGGGACACATCTCCACAGATGTGTCCCCTGTGTGATGTAATATGACGCGTTTGACGTATGACCTTAAAAAAAAAGCCGTTTTTAAGAGCAGAGCTCAAAATTGCTCCTTTCCCTCTGAATTCCTGCCCTTATGTCTCGTAAAACATATCAAATCCTGCATTCACTTTTTTAATTGTAATTTTCAAGCAAGTTTAAGCATAAATGTAGAAAAAATAAAAACCTGCAAGATGCTCTTTAATATTTGTAAGAAGGAAGATTTAAAGCCAACTCTTGATGACAGCTGCTTAATATAGCAAAAATATTCCACTGCAAATATGGTCTACCAAATCTAAAAGTAAACTAATATTCCTACTATTGATTGAACTTTCTAATCAATGCCCTTTCTAAGAGCAGAGTACAGAAAAAAACAGGTGAATATTTACTCAAAGCTTTTGAACTGATTAAATCTGAGACGATGTATTCTGTTTAAAAGCAGAATTTTACAAATGTACATTCAAGGTCAGAGGTTAAAGGGGACCTATCATGCAAAATGCACTTTTTGATGTCTTTTATACATCAATATGTGTCGCATGTGTGTCAGGGAACTTACGCAGCGTCAGAAAATAAAAGTCTCTCTTTTCCTTCGTACCCAAATCTCAAAAAATGGGGGTACAACGGAGCTGATCCAGATTTGTGTCCGATATGACGTCATATCGGCAATGTGGACCCACGGCACTATCAGAAACGTTGCTATCAGAAACAATGCCTGACTGTTTTGGACGTAATATGGTTGGTGTTTACATTAGCATTAGTCTGCTCTGATTGGTTAACTGGTCTGCTCCGTTGTAATGGGTCAACTGCTTATAGATGTCCCGTCCTTTAGCCTATCATGCACAATGAGTTGAAGCGCAATTGCAAAACAGTGATGTCACTATGTTACAATTGTGCTGTGATGTCAATATGTTACAGAAGTGACATCTGCCCGGAGAACAATTTACAGGCACAACAACCTACTGTATATAACACACTACAGGAAAGGGAAAATCCTAAAAAGGACTCTTCAATCAAATCAACAAGTATTATCTTAAGAGTATGTTTTATAAATAAGTTCCTTTCGATCAGGGTCGAATATCTTTTTGCCCACATATGCTCACAATATACCGGTTAGCTTTTGAATGAGTTTTAGCATGTCGACAGCAGTACATTAAGTTGGTGCTACCTCTGTGGATCCAGTGAAGGCCATCTTGTCCACATCCATGTGCCGAGCGATGGCAGCCCCAGCTGACGCCCCCAGACCTGCCAAGATGTTCACAACACCGTCAGGGAAGCCCACCTGGAAACAGAAACACGTCACACATGATAGATGGTCTTAATGTGTATCTGGTGAAAGTATCATGCCCTGACATGTTGTTAATGAGTACCTCTTTGATCAGGCTGGCTACGTAGAGAGCTGTGAGCGGAGTCTGCTCAGCGACCTTCATCACCACGGTGTTCCCAGTGGCCAGGGCAGGGCCCAGCTTCCAGGCCTGCATCAGCAGAGGGAAGTTCCACTGCAGGGAGAAGAGGTAAAGATATGTTCACAACACATTTTCATTTTACATTCACTTCTACTAAAGCCTGCGGGACTAACAAATCCAGGCACGTTCCCTGTATTAACGAGTTCACATTTGTTCAACCTCGGTTAACAATTAGTTAAACTTCTGTTATTATTCTCTAATTTCTCTGTTTTTGGTTAATGATCACATTATTACACTCCTCCCCCTCCACTGTTCCTTGTTTGCTATTGCTCAAATCAATTATACATTTATTATCAGCTTTGTGATATCAAATCTTTTGTCTTTTTTGGAGTCTGAATCAAGTGACAGTAACACGTACATATTAAAGAAGTGCAAACATTGTGATACCACCAGCTTCTGCTTTGACTCTTTAGTGCAGGGGGTACGGGGGCCCCTAGGGGTACTTAACGGGTTGCGTGGGGTATTTTCAGAGCTCTTAAAAAAACATGTTAAAACTGCTAGAAGTGAGTCTTTATTATTATAATTTTCACTCACAATCGTTGTAAATGTCAAGTTTAAATGCATTTCTATTAAGGGTGAGTTATATCAGTGATTTTTATTTAAGGAGCAGTTGGGTTAAATACGATTACCAAGGGTTTAACACAAGACAAAATGTAGGCATATCTTCACAGATGAGTGAGGACATTCTGATAGAAGGGAGACCAGCTCAAGGAGCAGATGAGACAAAAAAGGTTGGGAACCACTGCTGTAGTGGATCAGTGGTGAGTGTATGAAGGACAAAACATCAGTCAGATATGATATGGGCTTTCAAGGAAATACAGAATAATCCAAATGAAGCATAACCCTGAATAATGAGTTGTAAGTATATAACCATACGTATCCACAACATTCTTTACAGGCTTATATATAATCTATGTAATCCGACTATAGGTTTGCAATGGATGAATTAGGAACTCTTCGAACTTCACTGCTTCTCCGTGTGTAAGTGTATCCGGGTAAAATGCTTTCCTCTGCAGCAGTGCTTAGTCTACAGAGAAATATAGTCTGGGCAAATATTTAAAATGCTTTTCCTCCTCTCTTTATATAATTTGCAATGTTATTTCCATTTTTCTCCCTGCCCCCCCTCACCGGTATGATCTGTCCACAGACTCCAATGGGTTCATGTCGGGTGTAGCAGAAAAAGTCTCCATCGATGGGGATGGTCTTCCCCTCCCATTTGTCAGCCCAGCCAGCGTAGTACCTAAACACATCAGGTTCATAGGTGTTCAATATCTGTGTTGTTTTGTTGTTTTTGGTTATATTTCATAAAACATTAAAACGGGTATACAAAAAACATTAAATCAGACATTAAAAGCAGCTCTGGATAGGTGAGTTTTGTGATTTATTTTTTCAGGCCAGTGCCTTTATTAAAGAGGCAGAACTTTGAAAGTGACAACAGAGGGGATATTTATAAGACAGAAATACAGTAGCAGGGATTCGTCAATTTTGTGCGGTAGAAGAGTCAAATAAAAAAACGCCCCTTTTATGTAACCTGCACAGAGCCTGATAAATAAAACACTTTTTAACAGCTGATAATGTCCTGTGTGGTGTTATCTCTGGAGAGGGGTTCAGGCCAGCTAAAGCAAAGAAACCCTGGCTCTGTTGAACCGGAGAGGGCAGTGATGGTCGGGGAGGTTTCAAGATGATGAAACAGTATCGTCCATGAGGCAGCCAGCAGTGTTACACAACACCAAATGAAGCTCTGAAATGTGCTGTTACCTGAAACATTTGACCACTTTGGGCAGATCCACCGTGTAGGAAACAGCGTACGGCTTCCCATTGTCGATGGTCTCCAGCTCCTGTGCAAACAACACTGGATCAATTTAAGATGCATGACGATATTTAAACTGCGCAATCATTTGTTGCTTTATGGTTTTAACTTTCTTTGGTTCATTTGTTCTTATCTTAATTCATAGGTGAACCTATATGTTTATAAAATAGTTTGTGACATCTTATGGTAATTAATTTGTTCTTGTATTTACTTGCATTGCATTTGATAGTGAGGTTATACTAAAGTAACATAAAGTAATCAGTAAGAAGGTTTCCCCTTCCCAAATAAAAAGTATATATTCAAGTCATTTATACTTATGCTACCAATTTTGTTTAACTGAAACAAAAGAAAAGATCATTGTTTCCTGACAAGTTTATTTGATTCTTGGTCCATCTTCTTTTTGAGTTAATGATGTGCAAAAAGATATGCATTCAATAACGAGATGACCAAAAGAAATAAATAATAATTGGCAAGAAATATAGTATAGCAGTTCTTCTCTGTTCTATCCTGGAATTTAGGATGAAATGGGTTAAGATTTGTTCTGGGATTCAACATTTAATAATTACTCACAGCAAGGTAGGCAGCGTCCCTCTCAATGGCATCGGCCAATCGGTGGAGTAGCAGGCCGCGATTAGAGGCATCCATCCGTCGCCATGGTGACCCAAGTTTAAAGGCATTACGTGCCGCCTGCACCGCCTTGTCTACATCGGCCTGGAAATGTAAGAAAAGATGATTCTTGAAAAGCCATACATCCTCGAAACGCGCTCTGTCGTTGTGGTTGGCCCAGTTGAGTTGTAAAGTTTTATAATACATTTATTTAAATTCTCAAAGAAACTTAATAGACAAATATTTTCCGACGCTGTGATTATCCTAGAGCAGTGGTTCTCAACCTGTGGTACGCGTACCACTGGTGGTACGCCAGCTCCCGCTAGTGGTACGTGGAGGAATCTGACATATACAAAATTAAAAAAATTAAAAAAAAGATTTTTTTTTTTTTTTTTATTATTCAAAGGTGGGGTAGGTAATTTTGGAGAAACCAGCTCGAGTGAGCTAGAATTTGAAAATACACAACCGGAAAAAATATGCCACTTCCTCACAGAGCCTTCCACAGATGACATTTTTTTATGGATTTTTTGTCAAAGCACTGAAGATATTCATTGCTATCGGGATGTTAAGAGCATTCCATGGAATATAACAAAGAGTGTATCTCGAGCCGGTTTCTCAAACGTACCTACCCCACCTTTGACCTTTACACATAACACAGACATATAAAATACAGGAAACACAACTAAGTAAACAACAAGACGAAAAGCAGTCACTACATTGTGCACATTTGGGACATTAAGGTACACTATTATTACTGCAAGAGCAGCTGATGGTAAGGACCTCAGACAACTTCAATTTAAAACAGGCTATAGGGACAAGTGCCATCAGTTTGAGGCTTGATTGAATAACATTAATTAAAAAATAAATCATACTATCAAAATACACAACGAATGATAATAAGCTTGAGATAAGTGAAACTGTGGTTTAAATTAGTTCTAATAGGCTATTACTGTTTTTAGATTTAGAAACGAAAACATTTATTTTATTTTATTTCTGGCGTTGCTAATTACGACCTTACTACCCGCTAACGTTGCAAGCAAGCTAAAGAAAGAAGAAAGCTGAATGATGTTACAAACGTGGCTCAAAACGGGAGGTAT